CCTCTTTATGTCTTCCAACACTTTCTTAACTTCACCCTTAGGTATGGTTAGTCCTACCCACTGTTGGATGTCATCTCTCAATGTCTTTATCCAAGTGCATTTTGTGAAGATGTGTAACTGAGTCTATAGAAATTGACTTGCACAAAGACAACATGTAGTATCTTTCACTTAAATAGTGAGATGCTTTAATCTTTCTTTTGTAAGCAGTCTTCCTTGTACAGCCAACCATACAATAAATCGATGTTTTGGTTGTGAAAGTGCAGTCCATATGAGTTCTGCAATATTTAGTCTGTTTTGCTGCCCAACATAGCATTATAGCTCCTTGAAATAGCAATTTTAGTCCATGTTATTGCATAATTCTATTTTAGTCTTTGTTGACTATGCAAATTAACCTTCAATTATTTTAAGTGTGCGGTTTTGATCCCTAAGCTGAAAAAAGTTAACTATTAAACAAAATGATTATTTGAAAATATATAAAATAAAATAAAGGGTTGGTGATTCTAATTGCTTGAAGAATTATGTATATAAAATTAAAATTATATTTTATATATTTTTTAAAAATATATAATTAGAGTGATTATTATAATATTATATAAATTGATCGCATTTGCTTCTATGTTTGCTCTGTTTTTGATTCATTAGCAACTTGTGCTTCCTTTTTTTTTTTTTTCAATGATTACTAATCAAGGTCAAATACGATTATATTTGAAAGAGTTTAGTAGGTGGAGCCATAAGAGTAGAAATCTGAGAGTCACTCCCTATTTCTGCCCATTCCATGGGGCACAGGCCTTAGGAACTAAGAACTTGCGGCTATTGAAACTATCCTAATTTTTTTAATGGGAACTGAGTTGACTTGCTAGGGGTAGGATTGAGGATCCATCATCCCAACCTAAATTAGAGGGGAGCTTCATTTCGAAATGAGCTACTAATACTAAAGAAGGCCCTTTCCTTATCGGGAAGATTCTGAAATAATGTTTTGAAATTCATTGATATCGGAGTACAAATTTTACCTCTAACTGATAGAGCTTTTTTTGCGGCATATTGAAAGCCATATAGTCTCCTGCCAATCAATCCTTAAGGCTATCAATGGTGTCCTAACAACTTTCAATCTTTAAAAAAATTAACATTTAATTTTTATTGAATTCAATTTTTTATCTATACATAATTCTTTAAGTATTTAGAATCATTAACCCTTCAATTTATTTTATATCTTTTAAAATAATCATTTTGTTAAATAGTTAACTTTTGTTAACTTTAAGGATCAAAACTGCACGCTTTAAAATAATTGAAAGTAAATATACATAGTCAAATAACACTTGGAGTAAAACTGAAATTATACAATAATACAAGGATTGAAATCGCTATATCCCCTACTATATATATATATAAGGAAAAACATTTTTATTGTAGAATAATTTTCGTCACATGAAACACGAATTGTGGAGAAGCTAAGAGGACCCTCTTGGTCATCCTATACTTCTTCTAATTATGTGTTTTGAGGAAAAACATTTTTATTGTAGAATAATTTTCATCACATGAAACACGAATTATGGAGAAGCTAAGAGGGCCCTCTTGGTCATCCTATACTTCTTCTAATTATGTTTTTATTTGATTGATTGATTGATGATAGCATAAGGATGAGCCAACTTGTTTTTTTATAATAGTAATAATTATAATAGTAACAATTATTATTATAATCAATTGTTATAAATTATAATAATAATTATTATTGTTTTATAAAACATACTACTATTATTATTGTTATTATATTGTTTTGTATTTGCCAAACTTGTCTATATAAACTCTAGGATTTTATTATCCATGCACCAAGCAAATATCAATAGCAAAAGCATATGAATTGTACCTCTCTTGAAGACATGAATAATACTTTCTAAATATTTATTGTAAATCATATTACATTATACAAATCTGTAATAAAAACTCATGTACAACAACTTGAGTGCTATAACTTAAAATCTAAAATAGCTCCATATCAAATAAATATTAAAAAGAAGTACTATGCAATTATTTGGTGACTTGAATTGGTGCCATTCCTTTTTTTGTCAAGGTGAAGTAAGCTCGATCTTCATCATCACTAGGCTGAAAGCCTGAAACCATAAAAATTGTATACGTAATCAGATAAACAAATATTGATATATACATATCCTTGTACACCTTCATACAAAAAGAACAAAATTTCCTTCATTGAAAACATAAATTTGTACGAACATTTGGCCTTAATAACCTGTTAGTGAGATCATACTCATCAATTCAAAGACAATGTAAATATTTTTAAGCTCTCCCCCAAAAAGGAGTAAAATGATGTGGTTAATTTCTATCCTACCTTGCTACCCATTGAACTATGTTGTATGAAATAGTTATATTTTATCCTCCCTTAAGCCATGTAAGATTACACAAGTATTAAACTATTACAAGGCTGAAGGCACTAATATTTCATAGAGCAATAATCTGCAAAATATTATTGTCTAAGTTACTTTATTTTGTTAGGAAATAAATATACATTGGAACTCAATTCTCAGATGAGAAAAAACAAATTTGACAGGTCAATAAGAATCAAACAGATCCAATGTTTAATAAAACACTAGTTTATCTACGTAAAAATAAAATTGAGGCTTCTCTTCATTCAATTGAAGGCCAAATATAATTTTCTTTATGATGTGCCGAATATTCAAAAAATATCCTGAAATATACAAAAGTATGGCAACATTAAGTTTAACAACTTACAAAGTACATATTTATTTTTCAATAAAAAAATAATAATATATATATGTGTGTGTATAAATCTCAAATTCTAGTGTGAATCTTGAAGTTATGTGACAGAGAATTACCTTTACATTCACAAAAATATTACGATCAAATCTGTATGCTTTAAACACTTATTGCTTTGAGAATTCCACTTTATAAAACCTACAAAGAAAAAGTCAATTAAAAAAAAATCACACATGCACATACAAAATTCAGATGGAACAAAAGAACAAAATAAAGTAAGAAAAAAAAACAAGAAGGAGAGAGCTTTTTAAGAATTGCCGAATTGTGGAAGTGGGGAAGTGGGAGAGAGATTCAGGACTTTATTTTGTGGTGGGAAGGGGGGATTTTTATTTGTTTTGATTTTAAATTTGTTTGGGAGGGAATTTTAGTCCTTTAGAAATTTTTAATTTTGTGGGAAAAAGGGTAAGCCTTTTAGGATTTTGGTTTAAACTAATTAGGTTAAAAGTCTCCGTATAACTTCTAGTAACTAGTAATTTGTAATTAAAATATTTTATCTTAAAAATCAAATATTATAAGAGCTTAAATAAAGTTAAATGCACACAAATAAATATAACTATTGATAAGACATTGAAATTTTATTTTAAAATATGTAAATTTACTCGAAGAAATAAAAACTAGAAGTAGGATTCAAATTATGTTTAACTCATCAACATAAAATGATCTAGCAAAAATCAGACTTAGTAATGTGTTGTTTGGCCATAAAAATAAAAAATAGTGTAACTAATAGGTAGTAATTACATAGTTTAGTAATCGCACAATATAGTTATTACAATGATTTATTTTTATCAGATATTATTATAAGCGTATTGTTATATTGCACAAGCATAATTACACATTTAGATTAAATTTTCAAAATAAATTTAGTTGTAAAAACTTAATATAAAGTAGTAATATATAAAAATAAAACACTAGAAAAAAGCTTAATATACAAAGTAGAAAAGGAATATTTTGATAGTACCTTAATAATATATATATATATATATATATATGAGTATATGGTCATAAACTTGTATCATATTAAAATAAAGAACGAGAACGACGTATATTTGTGTTATTGTGTGTATACATATATTGTATTAGTTAAATTTTATTACTATTTGTCAAAAATCATAAAATATGAATATTTATGATATCTAAAAAATACAAGATATATAAAATTGATATATTTTCTAAAATTATGAATTTACAAATTTGTGGGAGTAAACAACCACCATGATATTATGAAATTGTGGCGATTTTCAAACCTCCTCAATAAAATTGTCACAAAAAGATTTATTTAGTAGGGATTAAAACAAACCTCACAAAATAAATTAATAGCAGAAGTTTTTAAAATTTCCACAAATAAACTGCTACAAATTGAGCATTTTTTTTTTGTAGTGTTTCCATGGGGCACATGCCTTAGGAACTAATTAAGAACTTTCGGCTATTGAAACTATCCTTTTTTTTTAATGGGAACTGGATTGCCTTGCTTAGGGTTGAGGATCCATCATCCAACCTGAATTAGAGGGGAGCTTCAATTCAAAGGATGATGAGCTACTAATACTAAAGAAGGCAATTCATCGATATCGGAGTACAAATTTTCAGGTACTCTAACTGATAGAGCTTTTTTTGCGGCATATTGAAAGCCATATAGTCTCCTGCCAATCAATCCTTAAAGCTATCGTTGGTGTCCTAGCAACTTTCAATCTTTAAAAAAAATAACATTTAATTTTTATTAAATTCAATTTTTTATATATACATAATTCTTCAAGTATTTAGAATCACTAACCCTTCAATTTATTTTATATCTTTTAAAATAATCATTTTGTTAAATAGTTAACTTTTGTTAACTTCAAGGACCAAAACCGCACACTTTAAAATAATTGAAAATAAATATACATAGTCAAATAACACATAAAGTAAAACTGAAATTATACATATATATATATATATAGTTTTGAGGAAAAACATTTTTATTGTAGAATAATTTTCATCACATGAAACACGAATTATGGAGAAGCTAAGAGGGCCCTCTTGGTCATCCTATACTTCTTCTAATTTTATGTTTTTATATAATTGATTGATGATAGGATAAGGATGAGCTAACTTGTTTTTTTATAATAGTAATAATAATAATAATAATAATAATTATTATTATTATTATTATTATAAATTATTATAATTATTATTATTGTTTTATAAAACATACTACTATTATGATTGTTATTATATTGTTTTGTATTTGCCAAACTTGTCTATATAAACTCTAGGATTTTATTATCCATGCACCAAGCAAATATCAATAGCAAAAGCATATGAATTGTACCTCTCTTGAAGACATGAAATCACTTTTTGCTCTCATCCTCCTCATTTCACTTGCCTTGGTAAGTTAAATTCTATACAATGCACACAAATATTTAAACAATTAGTTTCTATTATTGTAGGTAACTCTATTTAATGTTGGTTATCAAAGAAATTCTATCACTATTAGAAATAGAGACTTTTTTCATCACAAATCAATGAGAATTTTATTTTTGTGATATAAAATATGGTTTTCTTCATCTATTTTCCATCAAAACACATGGTGAGAAACAAATTCACACCGAAAGTGTTGGAAACTTTCTAATTTTTGCATGTGAAAACATTATTTCCTTATTATTATTATTATTATTATTATTATTATTATTACTTGTTATTATTATTATTATTTTCTAACCGATTCAATCGAAATATAAGTGGAAATGACCACTGAATATTTTTTATTGAAAAATTTTAATAGAAAAATAGTGATTTTTTAGCAACGTACCTAATACAATAATATATCCAGCGAAATCCAACAATTAGTGGGGTCTAGAGAAGATAGTATGTGTGCAGATCTTATCTTTACTTTGAGAGGTTAAGATGTTTTTTCGGTACTTCGTCGACTCAAGAAAATAACATAAGTAAACAAATCAAAGAAAAATTACCCAATATCTAAAAAAAATTAGTATATTAACGATGCATAAAACATAAACTCCTCTATTCAATATCATGAGAAAAGGGCTTGATATACCCTTAAATTTTGTCATTTAGAGCTAATATACCACTCGTTATAAAAATGATTCATATATACACCCCTACTATTATACAAATGTCTCACATATATCATTTTTCTCTAATGGAAGTGAAAAAATTGATTTTAATTATTTTAAAAAATATATATAATCCCATATGGGTATATTTAATCCTCCTCACACATATTTTTTTTTGACTTTTTTTTTTTATTCTAATGACTAATTTAAATTTATTACTTTGATGGTCAAATTTATTTATGTTCACTAATTTTCTTGTAAAATTTATTATAGATGACCCAATTTTTTTTCAAGCGAAAAATGACAAATATACCCCCGAACTATTGTAAATGGTATGCAGATACCCTCCGTCACACTTTTAGGACATTGGTGCCCCCGCCATTCAAAAACTAGAACATTTATACCCTTTATATAAACAGACATACATGTGTCATAATCTTATCCACCGACCCGACATTTATTAAATATCGGATCGTCGGATAAGATTGTGCCACGTGTCCCTATTTAGTCTTCCGTTAGAGTGAAAGGCATATATGCTCTAGTTTTTGGATGGCAGGGGCACCAATGTCCCAAAAGTATAACGGAGGGTATCTGCATACCATTTACAATAGTTCGGGGGTATATTTGTCTTTTTTCCCTTTCTTCAAATACAGAAACTAAAGCAACAATATAGTAAAAAAAAATAGTTTTAAATTATAATATAAACAAAAATTTGTTTTTTTTTTCTTTACACTAAGGAATGAAAGAAAAAAAAAAAAAGAATAAGAAACTCAAATAATGATAATCAAAGAAGTCAAAAAATGATTTATGTATGAAAAAATTAAAATATACCTTGAACTTTGCTAGAAAGATCATATATATCCCTACATGAATTTTTTTAAAATTAAAATTCAAATATATAAATTTAAAACTAATTTTTTCAAAAATATAAATATTCTACCCAAAAAAATTCTATGTATATCCGTACCAAATGTTTATGCATATTTGTATACTAGATACAATACTATGTGCTTGCATAGGTTTAATATATATTATCTTATGCGTCTTACTTTACTTGGCACACATAAAATTAGGAAAGTCAACCTTTTATGTAATTTTCAATTAATATATGTTATTCTCTATATCCCAATTCATGTTGCACAAGAAAAAAAATTGTGAGTTCATCAATAATTTAATATATTTTTAAAAATATTATTGTGATTTATAGTACTATTTTAATTTTTTTTTAAATACATAAAATATATAAAAGAAAGCAAAACAAATAAATTAAAATGAAGTTAAAATAGAATAGCAAATTGGTCAAATAACCAACTGACCTTCTATGTATTAGTAATAAAAAATGAATGAACATGTAACCATGTAACATAGAATTCAACAAACATTTTATTGTCTGTCATTTTTGTGCAGTATGCTAGCAGCACAAATGCAAGAAGAGACCCTGGAGAATATTGGAATATTGTGATGAAAAATGAACCCATGCCTATAGCAATCAAGCATCTTATGCCTCAGTATGACGTTCCTCCCGAGCCAAGGCCAACTGTAACTGCTTATTATCATGATGATGCTAGTCTCAAACAAGAAAAGTCTTTTGAACCAAGACCAACTGCAACTTCTTACCATGATAATGAAGTCAGTCTTAAAGGAGAAAAGTCTTTTGAACCAAGGCCGAGTGCAACTGCTTACCATCATGATGATGTAGGTCTCAAACAAGAAAAATCATCATTTACTATAGATTTTGAACCAAGGCCAACTGCAACTTCTTACCGTGGTAACGAAGTCGGTCTTAAAGGAGAAAAATCTTTTGAACCAAGGCCGAGTGCAACTGCTTACCATCATGATGATGTTGGTCTCAAACAACAAAAATCATCATTTACTAAAGATTTTGAACCAAGGCCAACTGTAACTTCTTACCGTGATGATGAAGCCAGTCTTAAAGGAGAAAAGTCTTTTGAACCAAGGCCGAGTGCAACTGCTTACCATCATGATGATGTTGGTCTCAAACAACAAAAATCATCATTTACTAAAGATTTTGTACCAAGGCCAACTGCAACTTCTTATCGTGATGATGAAGTCGGTCTTAAAGGAGAAAAGTCTTTTGAACCAAGGCCGAGTGCAACTGCTTACCATCATGATGATGTTGGTCTCAAACAACAAAAATCATCATTTACTAAAGATTTTGAACCAAGGCCAACTGTAACTTCTTATCGTGATGATGAAGTCGGTCTTAAAGGAGAAAAGTTTTTTGAACCAAGGCCGAGTGCAACTGCTTACCATCATGATGATGTTGGTCTCAAACAAGAAAAATCATCATTTACTAAAGATTTTGAACCAAGGCCAACTGTAACTTCTTACCGTGATGATGAAGTCAGTCTTAAAGGAGAAAAGTCTTTTGAACCAAAGTCGAGTGCAACTGCTTACCATCATGATGATGTTGGTCTCAAACAACAAAAATCATCATTTACTAAAGATTTTGAACCAAGGGCAACTGCAACTTCTTACCGTGATGATGAAGTCATTCTTAAAGAAGAGAAGTCTTTTGAACCACGACCGACTATAACTACTTATTATCATGGTGGTGCTGGTCTCGAACAAGAAAAATCATCCTTTACAAAAGATTTTGAACCAAGGCCAACTGCAACTTCCTACCGTGACAATGTAATCAGTCTTAAAGGAGAAAAGTCTTTTGAATCAAGGCCAAATATTAGTGTGTACAATGAGTGATATTGCAAAAGCATTGTGTGTCATTTAGTTTTCTTATAAACTCCCTCCGTGTGAATGCCCTTTCAATGTTATGTGGTTTATGGAATAAGGAAAAATAAACTTTTGTACTATAGTATTTCTTGAGTTTAATGTAATTGTTGTTTAATTGTGTGCAAATTGTCCCTATTTTTAGAGTGCTTATTATTGGATCACCTCTACTTGAAGGTCTTGTTTGCAACAAATTTTAGGCATATGGAAAATAAATCAACCATAAATAAATCTGAAGAAACAAGAATATTTTATTGATAAATCAACGTGGGTACAATTATGTTCCTCCCTTAATTCTTCTCTCACAAGATATTTATCAATGATTCGAGGGTTGTTAGTGGTGTATTTCTCGAACTAGGATGACATGAACTTGATCTTCATAATTTGAGGGTCGATAGTAGTGTATTTCTCGAATTAAGATAATTTGAGTTTTGATCTCTTTATGATCATATTCCATGAATTTGTGGTGAAATTTTTGAGATTTCAATCTCTTTATGGAATTTTTGAGATGCCTTTGAAGGAAACTTAGTACTCTTTATATAGGCAAGAACTGGGTTTAGGGTTGAGTAGCCTTCAAGAATCCTAATTAAAATTGAACACACCTTGTAGAGTCTCAGGTCGAATTAAACACATCTTGTAGAGTCCCACAAAATTCAATGTGTACATGTCTATTTGAAGGAATTACCCTATCACAATTTCTCTTCACTTAATTTTTTAAAATGTATCCTTATACCTATATAATTGTGTAAGGTATGTGAATATAAAGTGAGAACATAAATAGTACTCCCTTTGTCTCTAATTACTTGTCCACTTTTGAATTGGCACACCTATTAAGAAATCAATTAATGACATAGTGAGTTTACCATTTTACCCCTATTAATTATGAAGTGGATGAAAAGTTCTGCATTTTTCAAAGTAATTAGTCATTTAATTGAGGGTATAATATAATAGGTAAAAAAAATTGTCCTTTCTTGATTAGTCAAAATGGACAAGTAATTAGGGACCACTATAAAAGGAAAAGTGGACAAGTAATTAGGGACATAGGGAGTACGAATTTGCAAATTCAATGTAAGACGATTTCAGTGCTACTGAATCCAAGTTACTCTTAGATGAACCACTTTAGAGTGACCTTTTTCAAAAAATGAAGTCTTTGAGATTTTCCCCTGAGGCTAATTCATTAATAAATCAAAGCAAATAAAGTGTTTACAACTAAAGCATTATGTAGAAAATTAGAACTAGATACTATTAAGTAAGACGTGATCAAAATGCTCCAAAGTGTCTATAATTTATTCTTGTTCCTATTATTGTGTTGAATTTATGTAGGCTTTTTTCCTTTGTTGTTTATGACATTTGCTGAATACTGCTTCATAGAATTATTCACTTTTGGACTTGTATGTGCTATATAATCTAGTGTATTTGTCACGATCCAACCCACCGGGCTATGCGGGCACCCACTCTAACACCTAAGTTGGAGAACCCTCATATCCCAAAAATCAAACATGCAGAAAATTTTAAGGAAACAGATACAATTATAATAACAAGATGTTATAAATAATATCCTAAGACACATTGTTAGTTAAAACTTGCAAAGTAATTTAATAACTCCCATGGATCTAATCTAAACAGGTACAAGAGCTACTAAGAGTACAACTGGACAAATAAATAAAGACACAGCTCCCACCATGCGGAAGGAAGAATAGAAGCTGTTGGAGATTTCTTCGTCTTCACCTAATGAAACGTCACTAATCCTGCATCCAGACTATGTCAAAAGACATAACAAGAGTAGTATCAGTACAAAACACGCGTACTGATAGGCATCATCGGTCAACCCGACGCCCACCACATAGCATAAGAAACCAACTAGTAAGATCATGAAATAAACCACTCGCTTCTCCACCTTTACCCCTTCTTGAAATACCTCCAAATCACACTAGCATCTGACTACTAACCACCTTCCAGTCAACCTACTTACTAGGTACTTGATCATAGCCTAACCATTCTATCATATTGAGAAATTCCCAAACACAACCACTGACATTTCAGTCAACCTTTCGCGTCATACCCTTACTTCCTCATCACACTAACCAACCACAGTCACATAGTACATTAAATCAAGCTTTCTTCCCACTAAACTCAATCGTTTTTCCCCAAGCGAAATCTGCCTAAGCATATTTCATCACATCCGCTACCTCTACTTCTCGCCATTACAACACACGAACCCCCCCTTATTATCCATTACTCTCCCCTTGAACACTTTATCCTTCCACAATATCTAATAAGTTCGCTTAACCCAAGAACTCGCAAATATTAACGGTCATAACTTGTATCCCCCAAGTTCAACATAATTAAGCAAGTCAAACCAACATTATAATCCCATGCATATATCAAACATGTACCACGTTATCAACATTTACGAACAACAAACCACTTCACATTTTATATCAAGTCACACAATTTGCCACATCATTGGTCCTTTCATAGAACCCAAACCCAAACAGTTAGTTATGCCGGAACATGACAACCTATCCAAGTTAGTTATACCGAAACGTGGCAGCCGATCCCATAGTTATGTCGGAACGTGGCAGCCGATCCAAGTTAGTTATGCTGGAATGTGGCAACCGATCCATTCAACACACCACAATCACAAACACAATCAAAATCACAAGTATATCCTCAAGATCATACATTTAGGTCATGATTTCATGGCAATCATAATTCATCTATCTCATACACAACAAGTGTGATCAATAATGCATCATTCATATACATATAGGTATCATAATGAAGCAAGAACAACATACATCACACAATCATAGAGTCAAAACCATCACTCGTGGATTATTCATCAACGCGCCTCATGCAAACCCTAATTCAGCCATACTCAGCCCTAGTTCATCGTCTAAGGCTTCTTTCTAGGGTATTAAATCATAAACCATTCGGTGCACGAAGGTCTACGCATAAATCCTACCATTGATTTACATATATTACACGGTGATTACAGATTTAATCTACTCAATTCATAAAACCTAGCCTACTTGGGCGCCAAGCAGTTGTACGGAGTTTTTTACTTCGCTTCCGATTTTCCAGGCTTCGTGACAGTGAATTTGGCCAAGAATTCAAAAGGTCTCACCATCATCATACTAGAAATCTCCTTCTCATTCCTTCCCAAGTTTAGATTAGCCTTTCTTAGATTTCTATGGTGTTTTACGACTTATTTAGGTATTTTAGAAAGATGAAAAAAATATAATTTCTCGTAATTTACGTTCTGCCTCACCTATCTCGCCATGAACGACTAGTGTATGAAAATCATGCGCCAAACTTTGATTTATTACCAAATTAAAGGATTGGTCCACTACGGGATCACGACGAATGTCGATTTTTCACTTCATTCCCACGAAAGAATATAATACCCAACGGACTAGAGGAACAAATGAAACCCACACATAGAATCGAATGCATTCGATCTACAAAGCTTGGCTCGCTAGGGCGACAGCCCTCTTGCTAAAGTGGTGCCGCTGTGGCGAGAGATCTCCCGCCCAAACAGTAAAGGGAAAATGAGGAACGACTTCCCTTATTTCTCCCTTTCTCAAACTCAAACCACCCAAAACTCTCTCGAATCACTTCGCTCCGAACGTCAAAACTCAGGTATTTTTCGCATTCCTTACACTCTATACTTCATTATTTAGCTAACAACGATTGCATACCCGATTAATTGACCAATTTGGAAGGGTTTTTGGGGTAGTTATTTGAAATTGAAAATAGGTTGCTAGATTTGTTAGAAAACGTAGCATGGTTACTTCCCGTACGTCCCCAATGTTCCCACAACGTCCTGGGCGTAAGGATTTTGTAAAAATACAGGTAAACCGATATCAAAATGGGTGGGGGGAAGTTGAAGGGTCCCTTGGTCCAAAACTCCGATTTAGGCCTCTTTTAAGAGTTAATTTGTCGAAATAATTGCTTATTTATGTTCGAGGATAGTTAAATAACTTTAATCTGCTGAAATTCTGTCGAAAACAGGGGTTTTGGGATGAAAAGGCGCCATTGACGCACCTGGTGTTTGTCCTAGATGAAGGCTGTTATGGCGGCCTTCATCTCGCTATGGCGGCCTTCACAATCCTGCCAAGGCGGGATTATGGCCGTTGTGGCGGGATACGCCAGGCAGTGCCTCACCCCTTAACACAAAATTCTTTTTCTTAAATTTTTAGCCTTACACCGATTATCCTATCACAATCTAACTTATATTCAACTTATTGCAGGCTTTCTAAATGGCAGGACAAAACGACGAACACTTACCTTTCATCCGGTTTCCCAATGCCGCAAGTCGGGAAAGGCATCATGGCCACCGTAACACGGGGTTCTATTGTGAGAGGGATTTTGTGAGGCACAGGTTGAAGGAGAAGGAGCCTGTCTTTTATGCTCGCCTGGTAGAGTTCGGGTGGGTCCCGCTGACTGAGGCTCACCTAAATGCATGCTCCACTTGGGTGAGGAAGTTCTACGTCATCCTGCCTACTATGCGATGGGATGACTCTCACCCCATCATCCGCATCAGGGGAGTTGACATTCCTCTGAACGCCACTGCTATCAATGAGGCCCTAGAGGTACCGAAGGTCCTGAACCATGAAGACGAGGCCAGGCTAGGGGAGATGGACCTGGAGTGGCTGAGAGACACTCTTGTTGAGTCTACGCGCCGGGATCGGGTTTACTGGGCTACTGTTGAAGGTATTACTAGCTCAAATTGGTCATTCGATGCTAAGAGGTGGCTACATTTGGTGACTAGGAGGATCCACCCGTCGGGCAACTGCACCGACGTGACCTTTCCCCGGGAGTTGGTAGTAGCGTGCGTTATACAGGGCATCCAACTAAATGTAAGGGCACAAATTATTTCGGAATGGAAGATGTTCTATCGAGGTAACAAGAAGACGTTCTCTCTCCCCGGTCTTATCACTCCATTGTGCAAGCGGGTGGGAGTGCCA